GCCTAAAATGTACTGTTTTTTAAATTTCAAAAGAGAATAAATATGCCCTAGTGAGGGAAAGAACAGAAAACAAAAATAACTAGGTAAGTATATCTTGCTAGGAGACCCCAAACAGCTGACACCAAAATTAAAAGCAAAAGTGTAAAACCTGAGCATGTCATTGTGAAGTAGGCTGGGAACTCCTTTACATTTTGAGCAATGATTCTGATGTTAAAATAGGTGCAACTTATAAACTAATTGACTTTTTTTTTTTGAAGAAATTATTGTTTAACTTTTTATTTATTTATTTCAAGTTGACCAGAGAGAGGCCAGCGGGGTGGGGGGAGTGAGAAAGCAAGCCACCAGGTCCGGGATGAACTGCGGTTGACCCCGTGCGAGTCTAGCAGCCATAACCACCACACCACCTGCTGGCCTACTAATTGACTTCCATTAGCCTAAACTAACATGGCCACCTTCTCTTTAAGGTAGATAACAGGTAGTATAAGCTAATTCCTGGATAAAGACAGAAGGTTCTCAGTAGGCAGAAACTGTTACACTCATTCATAAAACACTATCAGGATTTCCAGGAACGATTAAATTATACCAAGTGATCAATCAATTAGTGAGAGAGTACACAGAAAGGGTGATACAGTGTGGTTGGAGAAATGGACTATTTCCTAAAGAGAGACTGTACTTAATTTTTTTAATAGTTAAATGGGCCCAAGGGAGGCAGGTTTATCTACCGGCCAAACACTGGATTTGGAATAAAAAGACCTGTGTTCATAATTTCCCCAATTTATAAGCTCAGTGAGTCTAGGGAAGGCTAATTAACTTTTGGGCCTTGGTTTCTCAATAAGTAAAATGGGAATAATTAGATGAACCTTACAGAGCTATTATGAAAATTAAATGAGAATCTGAGGCCGCTTCAAGAAAGCACTTAACACAGTGTTAATCACATCTGAACCTTTTAGAAATTTTTATTTGAACAAATCAGTAAAAGTAACAACCAACAGTTAAATGCAAATTAGTCTAATTAGTATATTGTTCATAAACTATTTAGGAGCCCATTTTGAATTCAGCGGGGCAAGGGGATATATCAATCGCTATTAATAGTAATGGAACTAATATGCACCACAGAGTAGCCAATGATTTGGAGGGGTGTGTTAATAAGTACTTCCTGGAATAACTTCATATGCACTGTTTTAGAGAATAAAGCACTTTAACAGAGCACAACAATCCATTTCTACTAAGCAACTAAAAAATGGGAAATTCTCTGCGTTTCTTCTACTCTAAAAAACTAGTACGTAAACGAAATCATCATAATCACGGACAAACTTTGCCTGAAAGATGAGCAGCCTCCCTCAGAGAAGTCAGTAATACCAGAACACACAGGTCAGATGTAGCAATTTCCAGGGATCGTAGTTTAATTATCAACGCCACCATGGCATCCTCTTGGAGCGAGGTTTAGGTCAGCACTGATCTCTCCCCTTCCTCATGTAAGGTGATTCATGTATATGGGAAACTATAACAAGGATCTTTACCTAAGAACACTGTCTGAACCACTGAATTTTTTCTTTGAACACATTAAAAATTCACTCCCAAAGCAAAAGAATTTAAAGATTATACAAAATTTAAACTTATAATGTATTCTACTTAGAGCTGCCTCTTCACAGCTTCTAAATATACATATAAGTCTTTTTTTGAGGTCTTCACATTGGTGGTATTCATTAATGCCTAAAAGTAACCAGTTCCTAGCTCAATTTTTTTTTAAGCAATCCACATCTTATAAAAGGCATGTTTGATAAGAATAATATTGTTTAAGTAGTAACAGTGTGGCCAGTGTTAGTCTAAATTGAGAAAAAAATAATCAACATACTGCTGCCCAGAGATAACGAAATCATTTCAGAAGTCATGGAACTTGAAAATTCAACAAAAACCTAACTCCTGAAGACGGGATCCCAGTGTAGTGCGAAGCACTGAATCAGGAGATTAACTTTCTGGCCTTGGGGAACTAGGGATTATGCATCCTAGTTTTGCCTCTTTTAAATCATCAGACCTTGAGGAACAGCAGAAGTGTAACACTGTGCACCTTGGGGATGAGCTGTTCTACCGATCCACTCTGTAGCTGAGGAAGTGACTCGAGCACTGCCCAAGTGAGCACCTGCCAAGTAGCTCTCAGTCTAGTAATCGAGTACAGCTGGAGGGCTCAGGTGCTGAGTAGGACTCTGTCCAGATTCTCCTGATGACTGGGTCTATGTACACACCGAGAGTGGTATATAAGAACGCTTGATGCTTACAATAAGGGTGCATTGAAATGAAAATAAAAGGAATCGAATTTCACATTTCTTCAAACACTATCAGTCAGGGCAGAGTAACGCAGCATAAATCCAAGGAAAGCTGGAAAACACTACAGATCAAGGAGACCGTTTCTTTTACAGCTTTGGTTCGATATTTCCATACTATTCCTTCTTGCAAATCCACTATATGGAAAAACTTTCTCATAAAGCCTCTTCAGGCTTCTGTTCTTCCTTCACTCGTTTTTGCTTACATCTGAGGTATCAGGGCTTGTTTGGAGGTAGAATTCATGAGCATAAACGCGTTAACTTGACTAGATTCTCAGGTTTGGTTTCTCCTTCAAGTTTAACAGTTTAAGGGAGATAATCTCCATTATGGAAGAAATGAGTGATACAATGCCGGCTAGGTGAATAATTATTGGTTATTTTCAATTATTACCAAAAGTTCTAACTAAAAGAGTTAACTTTTTTGCAGGCATATGATATGCTAACTCTTTGTATTTAACTGAATCATACCCTCCGGTTGACACGCTATCATCTCTGTCAGAATAAACTTCCAACAAGGAGACTACTCGATTCTGGAGAGGTGGGATTCAGAAAGCAGGACAGTCTGCAGCAAATGCAGGTCTGGCAAGAGCTCATCTGAGGACTCCATAGGTCCCGTGGTAATACCTTCAGCTCCGCCATTTTTGACGTAGGGCCCAGAGGCAACATTAGAATTCTTGATACTCATTCTCACTCTGGAGCACAAAAACCCCAAAGGTAAATGGAAACAAACAAACAAACAAACAAAACACTCTCATCCTTTCCTTTTCTTTCTCTTGGGATTCTCCTTTCACCTGCCTTAGGCTAAGAACAGAAAATCATGGTGTCCCCTGGTGGGTATGGTTTAGAGCTGACTGGAAAGAGAGAACAACTGCCCTAGCTGAACATCAACTATTGGGTTGTCAGAGAAGCCATGACGTATTTTTCTTTCCTTTCTTTCTTTTTTAAACTTTTTTTTAAAAGAATTACTTTATTTAGTTTAAATTATTTATTTTAATTTGACCAGAGAGGGACAAAGTGAGTGAGAGAGAAAAAAAAAGTGAGAAAGTAAGCTGCCAGGTCCGGGACTTGAACCATAGTCAGCCATGTGGAAGTCCAGTGCCCTTAACCACCAAGCCACCTGCAGGCCCCATGGCATACTTTTCTGTGCAAAAAAGGCATCATGATTTTTCCAACAACCCAATGGAACCAGCTACTCAGGCCTCTTAAGATCCTCTGAGGATGGCGAAGACTGTACATGGATAGGTGCTTTGTCATTTTAGCATGTTGATCAGGCTTTATCACACATAAATCTGGAGTGTGTGTGTGTGCATGCACGCACACACATATATAAACACAGACATGAGAAACAGAGATACCTGGTGGCATGGGTGACACATGGCAGTACTTGATGGATGTCTTCCATCCCCTCACTCCATTCCCCAAGGAGGCGTGTAATGAATGGCATGTAGCAAGCTGAGATACAGTGCTTCACTCCATCGGGTATCTCTGAAGATCTGCCCTCCTGGTTTTTTACTATGATCATTCACTTCAGAACTCTGGTGGTTACAGATTTATCAAATAAGTGATAGGCAACAAATCTGAGGCAGAGACGTTTTTTTCAGCTCATGAAAAACCACTATCAACAGGAAGACTACAATCTCTGGATCCATTATTGCTACTTTTGGAAAACGTTAAAATCTGAAAAGATCCCAGGGATTCTGAATGGCAATTTCTTCTTGCATCTATTTAAAATAAAAATCAAAGCTGTATTTATTCAGGCTGCGAGCTCTGCCCAATATTAATAGTTCATGTAAATGATATTTCAGCTCAAGCACAGAACTGACAAGTTAAATGACCATCTTTCTGCTTTCCACAAACAAAATATCCTTTGGGTGTTTAGCAAACTAAAGAAAACTGTACCTAATGTTTTATGTCGATTTTGTTCTAATCGAAACCCTAAGATCACTACAGGAAACCACCACAGAACAAACAGTATGCGACATCAAATCATAATACTGAGTACCTATTAGCCATCATTTATATACACATTTCCTGAAATTAATCTCTACTTAGGAAAGATCAACAGGTAAACAAAGTTAATAGATGTGCAGTAACTGAAAAGGTAACAACATTAAACCTTAAGGCAGCCTTGGTTGAATCTTCTCTGGTAAAGGGGGGTATTATACATTTCAATGGCCAGTGAATGATTTCAAAAACAATTAATTTAAAATAAATATTAAGACAATGTTTTGACAAAGAAACAGGATTGATTTTAAGACTCCTGCAAAATGAATTTGCATTAGAATTTTAATTGGAGTTAGAAAGCACACAGGGGAACGTAATGGTGGAAAGTTATAGCAGTCTCCTCAAATACAAAATAAAGAACCCTAGGCAAAATTATTACTCATTAGCACTCTTTGGACTCCTCTTTCACTTACTGTTGCATTCACAGTAGTTATTAGAAACATTCTCCTGGGACCAGCAGTTAGCGTAATGGCTATGTCGCTGAACTCCCATGTAGTCGATGTGGTTCAAGTGCTGGACCTGGTGGCTTAAATTCACGCCGTGCGTGTGGAAGTGTGTGCCCAAGATCTCAAGAGGAGAATGGAGAAGGGATTGCAGCATGGTCATCCCCCTTAGGGGGTGATTTCTCGCTTTCTGTCTCTCTCCGTCTCCCTCTGTCTCTCTGGTGAGCGCATGCGCCCTATAGCAAAAACCTCTCAAAAAAAAAAAAAAAGAAAAGAAAAATTTTCCTGATGTATAAATAACAGGTGGCAGGCTGCATTTTAGCTGAGTGGAGTGGTTTCAAGCTGCACTCCTAACCTATCATTATGCTCTGGTTGCACAACTACATCTTCGGTGCTGGGCTCGCGTCGTACCTGGTGGTTGCCTAAATCATCGCGTTATAAGCATTGGTGCCAACCTAAAATGATGACATCTTTTGTGGCTGCCAAGTCATAGTTTGACAAAAATATTTCGAAGCTCTTTAATAAACATGTTTTGGAATTTTTGTTTTCTGCAGCTGAAAATGACCTTGAGCTGTTTTACAGATCCAGTGCTAGATGCTGACAGAACCACCGTATGACACAAGGAATAAAAAACAAACAAACAACTCCAAACAATGTTCTAATGAAAAGAGATCTCAAGGGTACTGAGAAATAAAATGTAGGCACTTCTGCTTCAGGAGGTTTCCCCGTCTTGATCACAGATGGCTTTTCCAAGCCATGTTCTTTCATGACTAGAAATTCTCTCATGGTACAAACCATCAAGGTCACTGGAAACCTTGTTCTCACAAACACCCTTTTGGTGCATTCATCTGTCTTCCTAAAATAGTCTCCACTGACAGCAAAGACCATCTTCCTTCCACTGCTGAGAGCAGCCAGAGCAGCCCCTGCCCCAGCAGAGGACTTAACGTGACTCCAGGATCTTCCCTCAGGCGAGGCCACTTGCACTACAAGACCCAGTTATCCACCAACTACCTACGGAGGAGTGAAAAGTGCAATTTTTCTCCTGGAAACGGTTAACATGTCTGCCTCTTGCTGTCTAGTTCCTTATCGTGAGTGTAATTCAACAAACTGTATAGCCTTTAAAACATTCTAAAGCTACTAGGCTACTGGGACTTTTTTTAATGACTACTTAAACAGTTTGCATTTTTTTCTTTTCTTTTTTTTTCTTTCCTTTTTTTTCTTTCTTTTTTTCTTTTCTTTTCTTTTTTTTTTTTTTTTGAGAAAACCTGTGCTAAAAAGGCACTAGATAAAATTAATTTCCTCACTCTTGTAAGTAGCAATTACACACTGTGTTAGATTCTGTACTTTAACAGAGGTGACACACATCTGAATAAAACATCTGAATTATTCAGGCTCATTGATTTTCATTTAAAAAACAAACTCCAAGTCAAAGGACAAACAGGCTGCACCACGAACACCAGCCTGGCCACAGGGGCAGCCCTGGCTCAGCTGAGGCCCTTGGCCTGGAGGAGCCCTGCGAGGGTGGGCAGTGCAGTGGCCTGGCCCCGGAGGGCTCACTGGCAGCAGCTGTGGGAGCCCAGCCTCCTGGAGACCTGAGTGAACGAGACGAAGGTGAAGTTCTCACAGTTTTCCAGTTTGACCTTCTTGGCTAAGTTTGGGACAATTCCCCGAAGGGAGCGCAGCCCCATCCGCTGCTCCTCGTACCACACGCTGCCCACGTCTGTGGCCTCCTTCCGGGCAGTCAGGTAGAAGGGGGACTTGGCCTCCATCTGGGTGGGTGGCCGGTGGATGTACATGTACTTGTAGAGGAGGCAGTACGGGCACTGTTTGTGGCCCCTGGAGTGCTCATGGTAGATCTTCCCGTGGCACACTCTGGTCGATCCGCTCCGACTCTCCCGCTTGACGCTGTCTGTCCGTGCAAAGTAGGGCTGGTTCTGCGGGTCTTTGAGCAGCTCGATGTCACCATACATCAGATCCGCATGCTCCTGCAGTGTCCGCATGTTCAGGTACTGGCTGTTGTACTTGACCACGGTGGACAGGAGAGTGATAGGGCTGTCATCACCCAGACACCCCGCCTGCCACATCTCCTCCTCATCAGAAAGGGAGAAGTAGACGATGTTGCGAGAGCGGGCGCCCGACATCCCTGCCTTACTCAGCACCCACAGCTTCTCCTTGAGTTTCTTGGTGGAAGAGCTGAAGGTGCTGCTGGTGATGGAGAAACCCACACCTGCATTCTTCAGGATGCGGTCCAGGCCTCGGCGGATGGCATGGAGCGAGGTGGCCAGGAAGTCTGAGCCGTCACTCTTCTTAACGGTGACATAAAAGTTCTCAAGCAGCTCGTTCAACTTTACTGCAGGGATCTTGAATGAGACAAACACTGAGGTTATACATTTGAAGACACCTAAAGAGCCAGACCCCTCCTTCCTTCTCCTAATGCACACCTGGGGCCATTCTGTGGACAAGACATTGTGCACCCTCTAGAGAGCTGACCCCTGAGCATGATATAGTGGAAAGAACAGTGAATGTCAACCTAGAAGATCTCGGCTCCGTACTTAGCTCCACCTAACCTCTTTAAACTTCAGTTTTTCCATCGGCAAATATGAAGTAATAATCAAAAGATTGTTGTAATGCTTAAAGTACTGGATCATGAAAGGGTTTGCAAATGGTTATGCACCTCAGGGACCAGCAGTTAGCATAATGGCTATGTCGCTGGACTCTCATGTAGTCGACCGCGGTTCGAGTCCCGGACCTGGTGGCTTAAACTCCCACCGGGCGTGTGTGCCCAAGATCCCGAGAGGAGAATGGAGGAGAAGGGATTGTGGCGTGGCCATCCCCCCTGGGGGGTGATTTCTCACTTTCTCTCTCTCTGTCTCTCTCTGTCTTTCTGGTGAGTGCACGTGCCCTATAGCAAAAACCCCTCCAAAAAAATATAAAACTCTAGGCAAGCTAATTGTGGAGAAAATCACTTGCCAGAGTTATTAAAAACAATGGTTATGCACCTATCCCCACACATGCATATACAAACACACATATACAGACACACATGTGTGTGTCTACAAACATGTGTGACAAAGGTTACATATATATGTGCACATAAGCATTTATTATTATTATTATTGGCCTTTTGTAACTTTAATTATTTTTTTTCTGGAAGGTCTTTTCTTTCCTGCTTGCAAATCATTCATTTCCCTTCCCTTCAATAAAATTCAACCATCCTCTCTGACAGCTTCTTGTGCTAAACTTGAATTCTGAATCACTCCCACGTCGATTTCCTTGATACCTGCATATACCATTTGTTCTTGATATTCCTAAACTTGGAGCTGCAGGGAAAGGTGACAGACATGCCCGTTTTGCATAGGAAGTTAATGCTTCTTATTTTTCACTTGAATTTGTGTGAATAGGTCCTAAAATCTCTGGATTAATAATCAGTATCTATTAAAAAGGTATGAAAAACCGAATAACTGTACTGACAGAGTGAATTCCTTGTCTGAGTTAGGCAGAAAGAGAAGGAAGACTGACTGGTAAGACAGCTCTATTTTCAAATAAACTTCATAGAGCAGACAGTCCCTTTTTTTTTTTTTTTTTTTTGAGAGGTTTTTGCTATAGGGTGTGTGTGCTTGCCAGAAAGACAGAGACGAATAGAGAGACAGAAAGCAAGAACCCCCCTGCCAGGGGGGTGGGGGGGGATGGCCACGCCGCAATCCCTTCTCCTCCATTCTCCTCTCGGGATCTTGCGCATGCATGCATACGCACCCAGCATGAGTTTAAGCCACTGGGTCCAGGACTCGAATCGCGGTGGACTACATGGGAGTTCAGTTACATAGCCATTCTGCTAACTGCTGGGCCCAGAGCAGATAGAACTTTATAGTCTAGTCAGGCTGCATACACATTCCAAGGCAAAAAAGAAAGCCTCAAAAACATGTTCTTGGTAACAGCAGATGGCACAGTGGTTAAGGTGCTGGACTCCACATGGCCAATCACAGTTCAAGTCCTAGAACTAGAAGTTTAAAAATCACGCTGAGGGGCCAGTAGGTGGTGTCGTGGTTGAGGGCATTGAACTCCCACACTGCTGACCATGGTTCGAGTCCTGGACCTAGTGGCTTGCTTTCTCACTTTCCCCCTCTCTCTCTATCTTGCTCTCTTGCTCTGTCCCTCTCTGGTCAAAATTAAAATTAAAAGGGAAATAAATACATAAATAAATACAGTTAAATAAAATAATATTTTTTAAAAAATCACTCTGGTGCATATGCATGCATGCCCAAAATCCCAGGAGGAGAACAGAAGACAAGGGATTGTCTTCTATTACGGCATGGCCGTAATCCCTTGTCAGGTGATTTCTTGCTTTCGTTCTCACAGTCTCTTTCTCTCTCCAGCAAGTGCACATGCTCTATGGCAAAAACCTTTAAAGAAATATTCTTATTAACTAGAGACTGTACAGGTAGCATTTATCCCTCTAAAAGTCCTTGAATCAGAGAAAATAAAAGCTGAATTACAGATTAAAAAAATTAAGCAAAATTAAAATATAACTTGTCAAAATATGATATTGTTAGATATACCCCAATTAGATCATAGTCTTGAATGACTGTTAGAAAACTTCATTAATAAGCAAACTGATTATTCAACTCAAAAACCTAGAAAAAGTAAATGAAATCCATAATCAGTAAACTGATCAAAATTAAAATGTAAATTAATGAACTAGAAAAGATACAAATTGGAATAGATTTAAAAAAATAGTGAAAATATGTAATATTTGAAAAGACCTGAGACCAGCAGATGGTATAATGGTTATGTTGTTGGATTCCCACATAGTCAACCATGGTTCGGGTCCTGGACCCAGTGGCTTAAAACTCACACTGGGCGCATGTGCATGTGTGCTCAAAATCCTGAGAGGAGAATGGAGGAGAAGGGATTGCGGCATGGCTATCTCCCTGGGGGTGATTTCTCACTTTCTGTCTCTCTGTCTCTCCAGTGAGCATATACGCCCTATAGCAAAAATCTCTCAAAACAAGAAAGAAAAAGGAAAAGAAAAAGAAAAGACCTATAAAGTTGGCAAACTTCTAGTAGGTCTGAAAGAGATAAGAGGAAAGGAAGTAGACACTGAAATAGTATCAGGAATGAGATTATAACTATAGTGAACAAAGAGAATAAATATGAAAGAATATCATAATTTAGGAGTATTAATGTAATCCGGACAATTTTCTAGCAAAATACAAATTACCAAAACTGGTTCAGTAGGAAGTAAGAGACAGGAATGAATGCCAGGATAGCTCCAAATGAGACGGAAATGATTCTCAAAGATATACATCACTCCTAAAGAAATGACTTCATGCAGAAATCCGGCTATTCTTTACATTTAAGCAGTTTCAGAGCATAGGGAAAAGAAAGGTTCTTCTTTTTTTTTTTTTTTTCTACCACAAATATGAGTAATATTACACCAAAAAGCAAAGTATATAAATATAAACGTAAACTTCTCTAAGTAAAATAGCAGCAATTTTCACTTGGTTAAGTAAAATATGTGCATGCTAATACCATGCAAAGCGGAGGCATGGCTCTGATACGTACAAGTTCCAGCTAACACGGTACCTCGTGAAATACGGACTGACCATATTATCAGATCATTCAAGGCTATAGTACACCAGTACCTCGGGAAGAGGGCATGCGTGTCTGGCAGCAGTTCTGTGGCACAGCGATCGAGTGCTGTGCATGGACGGCCAGGTCCCATGTGGTTCAAGCGCTGGACCCAGTGGCTTGGGACACACCTATGTGTTTGTGTGTGCCCAGGGTCCTGATGGGATGGGAATGGGGGACGGGAGATTGTGGCACGGTTGTACCCCACTGGAAGGTGCTTTCTTTTTCTTTTTCTTTTTTTTTAAGAGATTTTTGCTATAGGGCGCGTGTGCTCGCCAGACAGACAGAGATAGAGACAGAAAACGAGAAATCACCCCCCAGGGGGGATGGCCACACCACAATCCCTTCTCCTCCATTCCCCTCTTGGGATCTTGGGGACGCATGCACATGTGCCTGGCGTGAATTTAAGCCACCAGGTCTGGGACATGAACCATGGTTGACTACATGGGAGTCCAGCGACACAGCCATTATGCTAACTGCTGGTCCCTGGAAGGTGCTTTCTTTCTCTCTCTCTGGTGAGACACATATACTCTGGCAATTAAAAAAAAAAAAAAGATTCCACAGAGTCGACAAACAGCTCTAGTCTCAGGCTTGGTGGCTTGAAGGACACACTGGGTGTACGTACATACCCAAAATCGTGACGGGATGGAGACCTGGAGAAGGGATTGTAGTATAACCATGCCCCATTGGGAGGTGCGTTCTTTCTCTCTTTGTCTCTCTCTCTCTCTGCTAGAGCACTTGGTCTCCAGCAATTAAAAAAAAATTAATCATAAAGAGTTTACCCAAAATATAAGAACAGCTTTTTTACGCAACAGCAATAACCGGTTAAAGTACCTTCCCAACAACCATGACACTCAAACACAGCTGGCTTTGGACTTTGCAACTTCCTACTCGCAAATGCTAACCTCTTCTTATATTAGTTGAGACTCCTTTGGTTACAAAAGGCAGACCAAATTTGAACAAGTCTAGGAAAAGAGGGGTATCAGAATTCGTGAACTCCAAGGCCCTCGGGACTCTAGCTCACCTCTTTGCTTTTCTGAGCAGATTAGCTTCTTTTTAAATTGATTTTATTTTTTGAAATTTGCCAAATGACGCATGTGCTTGCCAGCAGAGACAGACACAGAGAGAGGGAAAGGGTAAAGCACCCCCGCAGTGGGGTGTGGTTATGCTGCTACTCTCTTCATTTCTCCATTCTTTCAGGATGTGGGGCATGCATGCACAAGGGCCCTGTGCATTTTTTCAAGCGGCAGGGTCCTAGATTTGAACTGTGCCATCAGCCATGTGGGATCGAACTCCCTTAATCCTAGGCCACTGGCCAACCAGCAAGTTGCCACCTAGCACTCTTCAAGGCTTACATCTTAAAGCTTCAGGTATTGGCAACAGATTAACTGTCATTTACAGTAGGAACAAGAAAAAAGCCAAAAGAAAGCTTGTGATTGGTGCATTTCTAATCCAAACGACTAACCAAAAGGTGGTCCACTGTACCAACATGATGGCTTCTACAATAACCACGTGGACTGCAGGAAAGGAATTGTTTGAAAATAAAGGATGCTAAGCAGAAAATCTTATTTTTCGCTTTAGTATTTTAAACAAACAACAAAAAAAGAAACAAAGCAAAACAAAAAGCCTCTGAGAGCTTCCAATTGCCCTTAGGATAAATTTTGAACTGTTTATCTTGTAACATAGCTTTATAATCTGCTTCCACCATGTGGTAGAATGTTTGCAAAAACAC